TATTCTTAATTGTCGTAATTGGAGGGTGCTGTGTACAAATCAGTTTTCATGCTTTAGAGCTCTTTAGAAATACTTCACATTTGGCAGATTGAAGAACAAATGTATCAATTATTTGTAGTGGTTGCTTCACAGCCAATGAAAGGTAGCTGAGCAGTGACCTAGAGTTCTCTGTTTCTTATGGCAAGACGTGTCGTGATTGCGGACTTGACAGCACAGGAGAAGTGGAGAAGACGTGATGCGTATTTCTGCGATATTACTGTGACAGCATATATTAAATGACTTGCTACGGGAACAGTGAAATCGAATCCGCGTGGAGTGCTTCGGACACGTCTTTCTTCTGGGTTCTGTTTGGTTCTAGCTTGTGCTTTCCATCAGTGAATTAGGTTTCACTAAGGAAGATTAAGCGTTCTCAAGCGGAGAATTCACTGTTCCCGAACCAAAAGGCGGGAATTCACTAATCAATAATGTACCGTTTATGCTTTTTGTAGTCTTTGATAAAAGGGACTCAGTGAAGGCTCAGTGGTTTACCGAAATCTGAAAAAAAAAACAGATTTTGAAACCCATGGATGTAGACATTATGCCTCCCCATGAACAATGATATTCCCAACATCGGACTGTGAGAGCAAAAAAAATGTGCAAAGCAGTTGAACTTCATCCATTTCGGGTTGCGCCGCGCATCCAAGCGCCATCAAAAATCCGCATGTCGCCCAGTGTCTTTTTGTAATGCTCCACGCATTCGATTTCCATACCAAATCTTTGTTGCTTTTATCTGACGACATCATACCATGGATTGCACCACTACCCGATGTACCTCAATGAACTTGTCCTCTGAAAAAAGCTACATATTAATTATTGGCCTTGGACGAGTGGAGCCCTGATTCGATCCGGAATTTCCCTGGACCATTCGTTTGGCTGCGCTTACCGTTAGCGAACTTGAGCTACCCTCTGCTTCCAAGAAAGACGCGCGTCGTGTGTCGACCACACACCTCAAGTCCAAGTAAATCTGGAAAGTAGTTATCCACAGTGATAGCTGAATGTTGGTAAGAAAATGATAGTTGTAATTAGTGACAGCTGATGGAATGGAATGGCAGAAATCATTTACATTTAGTGGAGGCCGTCGTCAATTGTGTTGTGTGGTCTGCACTCGACGAGCATCTTCTTTTCGGAAGCAGGGTAGAGTTCCGCCCAGATTCTCTCTGTGGCGCTGCAAAACGACCTTATCGGCCAGGGGATAAGCTTCAAGGTGGTTCAGAAAACAAGTCATTTATTGGTTGTTGGAAACAAACAGTTATCGGGAGCTATTTGCATGCTTCCACCCCAGGATAATAAAAGACAAAGCAGCATTCGACGTTAGTCAATTCCTTTCTGGAGTGCGCCATGCATTCTGCCCTCCATCAGCATTGCTTTGTCATTTGGAACGTGATTTGGCATTTCTAATCGCCTGCTGCGGCCAGCCGATGTGTAGGTTAGCGTTTTTATTCTCCTCAACAAATTATGTACCAATTCAGAGACCTTGAAAGGTAGAAGGACCCAGACGACCTAGATTTATTCTTACTTTATTTTATTTATTCATACGCTACATAAGGCAGACGTGAGAAAACGAATCAACAACACACTACGCTAAAACACACTACAACTAAGTGTAAACTCAACAATTCTTTCTTCGCAAGGCGTTTAAAGTGCATAAAAGCAGGAGAAAGTAGTGCAACTTTTGATTTAAGGGAGATAAAAACTGAGCCTGCTCTACAGGTGAAACTGTGGAGCTTCAAATTGGTTCGAGGCGTTGCGTATGAAATTTTCACAGATCTGCGTCTGGTTCCAGATTCGATCCTGCTTACATCCTAGATGGTGTACAACCCAGGGTTTGATCTTCGGACCATTGTATCGCTATCAGCGGCGCTTGCCACTGCACCGCTTCCAGTGCCATCTATATTGAATTATTCTCTTTGTTTGTAATGGACTAAATAGACGTTTGTTATAGCATACTGCCTTTCTTTCAGAATCTCTTGACGATCCAAGAAAAAAAGGCGAAGATTAACGTCCCTTTCAATCACAAGAAAGTGTCTGCACTCCTTTTACAAGTGCTGGGTGTTACCTGTTGACGGTAGGTTTTCCTCTGCGTCTCACCTCTTGAACAGAGTCCATTGTAATTGGGAGTGTTATGATAGACATTTATGTATCTGGCAAAGACGTCGGGGTCGGCAAGCAACATACACGGTGAATATCAGAGAAGATGCTTATCGCAGCGCGACGACGACACTTGACGACAGCTACCTGTTTCGGAGCTGAGAAAGACGCCAAGGCTATCAAAGCGCGGGCGCCATCGAATTGAGGCATCGACTGCCGACGATGGAGGTAATTACGACGATAAATGCGATCAAACACGGATTATACAGTTGTTAATGGGATTATGGGAGGATTAGTAGACTTTTCGATGCTGTAAATGGCTGTGGAATTATAGTATTGATGCAATTCTACTAAGGATGGCTAAAATTAAGAACTTGTAGACCTCGCAAGTCGTTATAGTGCAGCGGATCTCAATCAGAATGCCCTTACGTTTCTTATAAGGGGCTTTATTAGAAAGGGGGTTTTCCAATGAAGGATTCTTAACAACGACGTCTCATGTTTTATTTTTTTCTGAACCGAGGGAGAATGATAATTGGAGGACGCTATCCTCACTGGAAGGGAACCTGAGGGAATCGAAGCACTACTGAATGACTAATAGCAATTTCACTGAAGCTTTTCTTCTTATAAGTGAAATTTTCAATGGGTTCAATCATCAAATCTTGACCTTCATTCACAGAGCTTAGCCAAAAGGATTGCGATATTTCGGTTTAGGTTCACATATCGAATTGAAACAAATGAAACTGCGTCTGACTGTTGCTTTAACACATTGACGACAACGCGAGTTTTGGCTTTTTTGGCCACGTGGGACCGCGGCGATTTTGCGGGCGCGCTCGCCTCAGGTCGTTCAAGCAGATTTTGAGTGATAAATACACAACTAATGATCAATTCGGAAACCAAATCAGTAAATTGTAATGAGCGCAACCTAACCAGGGGTACAGTAGTGGAATTTCGATCGAAAGACATGAATAACAATGAAAAAGCGAAATTTTTCAGAACTAGCTGCAATGGACCTCAAAAGCAATTTTACGTTGATTATTCCAATCAAAACACACATATTGTCATCCCTAAGGTTCCTTATCTACTTCTACTACTATTTAAATCTTCACATTAATAAAAAGAAAAAGTAAACGAAAAATTTATTGAAATGAAGATTTCGTATGGTTCAGAAATCCTCCTCTAAATTAAAGTATACGTGACCATTCTAAGGGCCACTATGTTTGTAGCTACGTCAGGTCTCTCTCCATGGAATGAATACAAGAAACTTCTAAAAGAATCAGGCGTGCGCGAAAAAAATGAGTGTAATGGGTGCGGGGGATATATATCCCGCACGGTCCGACATGGCCTGCAATGCGCGGGATATATATCCCCCGCGTTGTCGTCAATGTGTTAATCTCGGTACAATTCAATTACGATATCGTGAACAGGCCTGACGTGAAAGCCCCCAGAAGAGAATTTATTTTTGGTTGGCCGGGTGGATGAGGAAGGGAAACAACGATCCACGTGGACTAGCTCGAAATAAGCACGCGAATCAAAATTCCAAATTTATAATAAAAAGGTATTGGGGCCTTTTCTTCCGAACTATATTTCCTATTATGAATATATAATATAATATATTCTTATTATGCATTTGTTTTGTACTGTTTCCTTATTTCGCCGCAGATCGAGGTCGGGTATGATGAAAAAAAGAAATGTTGAGTGACGGTAAAAAAAAAACTTGCCTTAGCCGGGGCTTGAACTTGATCAAGTGCTTCCCAGGCATGAATGACGGCCGAATTCCGAGCGTTTTTTTTTACCTAAATTTCGGGTTACAGTGGTATATCTACCGGCTTGTCCTCTTAGTTCGCATATCTAAAAACACTAGGTTACGGTAAGTGTCGTGCTTCAAGAGCTCTGACTTGTGCTTGAATTTCAAGGGTCACTTCAAAGCTGCTAAAGTTTCTCAAACGAGGTTTCCTCAACTCTGCCTAATTAAGTGTGAAAAGACGATCTAGAAAACTAAGCGATCTCTACACTGGTGTGCAAAACTTAAGCACGAACGTACTTTTTCCAAGCATTGTTACTGGCGAGTTACATAGCGCTGTAGGAACCTAACCACACATGGGAAGAGCGGCTACAGTGCAGTACAGAAGGCAACCAACAGGAACCGTTAAACGACCCACAGAGCTATCAATCGGTTATGCTACTTCATCTATCTCATCCTTAAGTTTTGCACACCAGTGTATACATATGAATAGGTAAGCCGGTAGTGAAGAATTAGAGTTCTATGTGGAGGACTGGCGGAAGAAAGAACGGCGATTCATTTTCGGAAATCCCTATGATGACCTTGATGACCCCTTCAACCGACATTTGTATTGTCTCTCGCTGCTCAGTTGTCGTTTTGATGTAGCAAAATTTCTTAATTTATCGATTCTTGAGATTTTATCTGCATCGTTTACTGCATGCGGTAACTCCTCGTCCTAAAATGGTATTTGTCGGGTAAATGAATCACAAATAAACCAAAAATAAGCTAGTCTTGAGTGATTCCTTGAAGTTTCATTTCCTCTCATTCACCCAAATCGCACTTCAAAGGTCACTCATTAAAGCAGCATTACTGAAATGAAGTGAGGTGCAATCCCGCTTCTCAGACATCGTCGGCTAATTTCCTTCAATTGGCCGTCACTGCTGACGGCTGCCTGATAGCTACCGTAATCGGAATTATTCATTTGTGAGCCTGTTAATTCGCTTTGCCACCCGGCAACATCAATTAGCGCAAGGCGTGGCCTCGTGTGCTGATTGGTGGATGTGTGCGGGAGGGGCGGGGCGTGCTGATTGGCAACCGTCGCGGTCCGTTGTAGCGCACTCCTGCCCTCCCTGTCGTCGTCTTCGTCATCAACATGCACGAGAAACTCAAATTCGGTATCGACTCGATTCTTGACCCGTGCTTTGGCAGAACGTCCGTCGAAAAGGACACTTCTCTGGACCTGAAATTCCACGATCCAACACAGTCCTTCCACGGCCATCAGTCCGTGTTCATCGTTTGGTGCCAGTCCACCTACACCAATCATCGACAATCGAGCTCTATTCCCTGCATGGGTATTCTGCACCAGATATTCGGATCGTCCATCTTCTGGTGAGAGGATTTTCTACCTCGTTCTCGTTTTATATGTAGACGCACTTCCATGACCAACACAGTCCTTCCACGGCTTAACTGCATAGTATAGGATACGGTAGGAGCAGCTGATTCCATATTTTGACATTGCTGTGAAACCCGGCAACATTTTTCTTGCCTCAGAAGTCACACGGAACGTCGCGAAAACTATTCTACGAGTTTGAAGGCCCAATTAATGAGTGCAAAAGGCGATCAATATATATCTTTTCCGTTTTACTGCTCATTCCTTCTCCCTGGCCTTCCTGCGTCTGTTCCCTGTCACAATTCAGTGTTTTCAAGGAAAGAGAAACTAAAACTCTAGGAACAGCTTCCTTAGTGTAACCGTAGTCCCACCCTAAGTCATTTCCAGCCGTCTCATAGCGCGGATAAGAGTTTGCTCCAAAGTTCAATGTTCTGCTGAGGTAAGGCAACTGGTCTCGTCCTTCCAGGTTTTTTAACCTCCATGAAATCCGCCAACGGCCCAGAAACCCGGCTGTAGATCTAGCGATAAGAAAGGTTCTGCTGATGCTAATGTGTGGCAGTTTTTATTCGCCAAAATGTTTTTTTTTTGCAAATTGCGGCTTGAAAATTTCCAAAATAGAGTTTTCATCGAACATTTCTATCGAGTTTTGACACGTTTTTCTTTGGAGCAATATTTATTGGGGAAAATTCAAAGATGACCTATTTAGATTTTGTCGTGACAAGGTTCCTTTTGCTTGCATGGTAAATTTGGACGCTATCGCAAGATGGGGGGAGAGGGGTATCCTCTAGAACTAAGCTTACGAATGGCAAATGACGCGCCTCTGTCACAAATACGGTTAGAAGGTAAGCATAATCAACATGAATGATTCTTAAAGAAACAAACAAGCAAACAAATGAGGACCAGAATCCTACCGCCTAACGCCATCATAGCAGGAAAAAATTCCAGAATATTGATAAGTGAAATATACCCATATTTTCGGCCAAAAACCAATCAAGAATTGAGTCTAGGCCGAAGATCAGGAAAATGAACAAATTATCCTACCTATCACTTACAGTACTGAAGCCAGCGAATGTGCCTATCTTCGTAATTTGAAAAGCTTGCCGGCTTCCTTCTTCCTCAACGAACCTTTCTACTGTAATAAATAGCGAATCCTCATACAAGCAATCAATCAAGACGTGCTCTGCGCAATCTACAAATGTGGC